AATGATAAAGGTTACACTCTACAAACTACACACATGCCCAGTAGTTTCATGTAGGTTAGGCCTACCTATTATCAGGTCAGGAACCAAACCACTATCTAGCAACGTCCCCATTTTCTGCTCATGTCACTTGTTCAAGCGGAAAAGACGTCATTTTTATTAGGTCACGTGAAAATGATGTTATTTTCCAACAAGATTTTGGGAAAATAATGAGATTTGAAATGCCGGCAGCCAATACATGTACATGTATGGTCGCTGTTGCCACTACCATGGCAAAATTATTTTCGGTCGCTATTATGGAAAATCGCCATGGAAAACATAAAATTTGCCATGGTGAATCGATGGAAATTTTTAATGGCAACGTTTCCATCCATACACTAAATTTCAGCAAAGCTTCATTTTTTCACCTAAACATTTTCCTCGGCAGAAATGAACTCACCAACCCACCAAATTCAACACCTCCTGTGCAGGATTCGACCGAAAAATGTCCTTGATCCGCTTCCAGAGATACCAAATAAAAGGAAAGTTTCATTTAGATCTGGAGCAGCATGTTTCCTGTAAACTTAATCAAGTTTTCGGCCGATAAGGAGATCAATGTCATCTGCAAGCCGAGATCTAAAAATAGCTCTAAAATTACATCATCACTTCACAATCGAGCAGCATATGCATAGTCTGGAATTAGATTGTGGTTTGGTCCCCAACCTGATTATTATTGTTTTTTAGGGGGAGATTTGATCAAGAAAGTGTAAACGCAGGTTTTCTCTGGTACAATTGCAAGGCACCCTTCAAAATGCTGTTACGTACACAATCATCAAACATCAAGAATCAGTGAGGCCTAAGGACATGACAGAGCAGTGCCTTGGTGTTCTTGAAGTACCTTGCCCCGCATCCTTGGCCTATCGCTTTACAGTCACTTCCCCCCATCCCCACTTCCCCCCATACCTACATCATCCAACCTCCACTTCGCCCCATCCCAACTTGCTGCAAGGTTTGTCCGACCATTATTTGGTTACTCAAACGTCAATGTTTTAATTCTAAGGTAAAAAATGTTGCATCCTGACTCCACTTTTCTCATCATACATCATATCAATAAAAGTCAGTCATTACAGAAATTCTTGAAAGACACAAATTCTGGACTGAGAAACATTTACCGATGTTGTTGGGAAATACTTCACTCCCCATAGACTTTGTACAGAACTGATGAAGTGCAGTCTGGATGCAACATTTTTTCCAATTGTAGGCTATTTGTTGCAACTGACAGGTAGGGCCTATATGCCTTTGTTAATAAAGAGAGGCACGAACAATCAGTGAGCAAAGTGGAAATGGGGCGAAGTGACCGACACCCAGCCTACATGTATCATGTATACATAATTTGTACACGTAGGCCTAGGCCTAGTTTGGGTGTCGTCACTTTGCCCCATTTCCACTTCGCCCCATTCCCACTCCGCCCCATTGATCATGATTCATTCCGTTCTTCAGTAGGCCTAGATGCAACAAGTAAAAACATCAACATTTGAGTACCCAAATAACGATCAGATAATCCAACTTTCAAAGGCCTAAACAATGATTCAGATTTCCCGACCGCCGGACCAAATTTTTTGGCAAGACCCAACAATTTTTATTGGCTAGTTAGAAAAACGTTTTCTACGTGTTTCGTTGTCGCTATGGTAAAAACACGAGCGCAAAGCACTGGTTCCCGCCGCGCTGCATCCGTGTAAGGGAATACGTAATGGAGTGGGGATGGAGTTTCCACAAAATTTCTTGCACGCCGAGCTTTATCCAATCACCCGGGGTATACCTGTCTGGATGCATTGACAATTACCAGAAGTCCAGAATGATGTGAACAGAATTGTGTTGGTTTGAAATAAACTTGAAGAGGATGAGAAATAACCCGATGCTAGTCCAACCATATGCATTATTTCCCCGTAATGGACATGCGGGTGACTTTAATTTAGTGCCGTAGAGTTTTCTATAATAACTACATAACTACTCCTTGACCATTTTTTGAAAAGGCTTGTAAAACACTCAAAATGGACGGCAAAGTGGAAATGGGGCGAAGTGGTTAGGGGCAAAGTGGTTAGGGTCGCACTACACCAAATACGTGCCCATAGAAAACAGTGCAAATTGGACCGAGACAGCGCTGCCTGTTGACTCTCGTGAAGAGGTTGGCCTCCGTTTTTTTACTGAAAATTCAAGATTATAGCCAGAAGATCACTTTTCCTTTCAATTTCATGGGGGTTAGCCACAAAAATATTTTAATTCGCTTTTCGAGGATGATACCCCCAAAAAAGCAGTAAAACTAAGCACTAATTTCTGAATGTAGCCGCCCCCTCTATCCAAAATAGGCCCGCAATTTGGGGCTTTTTGTGAAAGAAATACCTCGAACTAGAAACTTGCCTGGGTGTCAGTCCTAAATTCGGGATTTAAAGAAATATTTCTATGATGCCTCCTGATTATGGCCTGTCTTATTTTAAAACCCTGTGGGGTCACAAAACATTAATGAGCTCGCGCGCAGAAATACGGGTCAGAAATACTGTTTACGGGTCTACCTTAGGGGCGACGTGGAAATGGGGCGAAGTGACGACTGTGAACCCTAGTACTAGTAGGCTAGTAGCCATGTTACTGCAGTGCTAGCCCTAATTTGTACGTTAGGCCTCCCGCGATGCAAAAATGTTTCGAGTAAAAATAACTAAGGAAGTCCTAAAAGCAAAATTTGCCTTCTTTATGCAATAACCTATAACAATATACTCACTAAACGTTGCATATCGGGCTGAAATTACCCTGGCAACAGTGGAAACATTTGCCGGTTTTCGAAGACAGAACCTGCATAAAGACGCCATGTTTACGAATAAATTAATCCTCGACGGCAGAGGGGGCTATTCATCGCTCACCGTGGGGTGCGCGCGCTGAACTTATTCAAGCTCGATTGAAAATACTGTAAAATCAACAAAGTTTGGAGCCCCATGGCAGGCGACTGAAGTCCCTGAGGCCTCTCAAGCAAAAAAAACAATGTGTTGTTTGGTCCGTCAGATTTGATTTTCAAGTTTTAGTGGGTTAACCGATGAAGTTTTTAGTTATCCACCTAAAACAAACTCACCCCAAAAAGAGAATGTTCCCAAGTCTTCTCAACGGCCATTTTTCAAATGACATCCCTTACCTTCCTGGAGCTCTTCTGACAAATTTTCAATCACATTTTTGTTTGCTTTGCCCCCAGATGGGTGCCCCTAAACCTACAGAGATGATCCCATGCCATACTAACACAATCCCACAAACAGACCCCTCTTTTCGAAAGAATTTGTAGGCGTACTTTTTATGCGCCTCGATCGTCCTTGTTCAGGACCACAAATTCTCACAAACAGATGTCCTTGAATGTTGCAACCGAAAACCTTTTACTTCGAAGCTTCGAAGTGTTAATGGTCGTCTTTCCATGGAATTTGGCCGTCAATTTGTCCGGAGTGACCTCCCTCCTGCTTATTCCCGTGCCGGAATGTCTGCTGTCCAGCATACCGTACTGGTGTCGGTACTGTCAGGTTGCTCCAGCAAAACAGAAGATTCTGCATTCTCCTAGAGTTTGGGACTAGGACACGTGCCGGAGCTAGAGGATAATGTTTTGATTCCCCTCCCATTAAGATAAAATCAGACATGGCGTTCTTGAAATGGTTCAAATTGGGTAGGTTTATGTATGTGGAGCGGCCTCCGTCTTTTTTGGACCACCTTTTTGCTAATTATTTGATAAAAAAATTTTTACGGCCAACTATAAAAACCTCCCGTGATATCCTGCCTTTATTCATGCTGAACAGCCTGGTTTAGTTACCGTAAACATAGGGGCTTCCCCTTAACCAGAAAAAAATATTCCAGCCGGAGTCTGGCAAATTCCCATGGGAATGTGTACAACCATCTTCGAGATAGCAGACATCAAGGATTGTCTACATCTACTGCTGTCTGGCTTGCCGAGGGCTACCAAAGCGTTTCCTGTAACCCATAAACGACCCTCTGAAGCTGTCGGAGCCTCTTTGAAGCTTTGATGCTTTCTAGAAGGCACGTGCCTCGGTAATTCTAGACATACGTTGGCAGCAGAGTAGGGTATGGTTCTAAGGCTTTTCCATGTGGCTTGTCACCGAGAGATATAACAGCAGTTGGGTACAAGCTTACCACCTTTTCCTGTGGTTTCTTTGCGGATTTAAAGGTTTGAGGGTGCAGAGGACATCCATGTAGGATTTTAAAACCATGTTTAAAAGACAAAACAAAACTGTTGCAACACTATTGTCAAAAAGGACGGTACAACTGATTTTTTTTAAAAAAATGAAGACCAACTCAAGCGCAGGGAACAATAGATTCCGGTAAACTATTCCAATGTGGTGTGGTGGATGGGTAGAAGCTGGTACTGTAGAACTTTGTTTTTGCATTTGGTCGGTGATAGGAGAACTGGTAAGATCTACGATGAGATCTGGATCGGGTTTTGAGGTCGTGTTGGACTTCAACTAGGCCATGGGTAATCTTGTAAAGGATTGCAAGTCTTGCAATGGTTCGCCTTTTGTCCTGCAGAGGCCAGCCGAGATCTTTCATCATGGCTGTGACATTGACAGTCCTTGTATAGTTGTTGCAACACATCCTGGCCGCGTATCTCTGGATACCCTCAAACTTCTTTTCCTCTCCAGTCAAGGTAGCCCAACCACAAACACCATATTCTCATTTGGGACGAACCAGAGATTGCTAAAGAAGTGACTTAACCTTGCTGCTACAGGACTTAAAGTTCTGCCTGATGGTACCAGTGATTTGCTTGGCGTTGGTGACAACCTAACTGATATGAGGTGACCAGCTGAGGTCGTTGCTTCAAATAAGACAAGGTACGGGTGACTACATGTGCTCTGAAGTGGTTTCCCATTGATTTTGTGGGTGTGAATTTGAGGAGTTCTCTTGGTAGTCAGTTGCACAATAAATCTCATTTCCTATTCTTTTTCCCATCTGCAAAGGGCAACTAAATCATTTTAAAGTGAGGCAGCATCTGAAGGAGAGTTGATTTCTCTATACGTATCCATCATCAGCAAACAGTCTGGTTTTCAAAGAAACATAATCATTTAAATAGAGGAGAAACAGCAGGGGGCCCAGGACTGTGCCCTAGAACATGCCAGATAAAACTTCTGCTGTTGTATATCTTTCACTCTCTAAGACAACTTGCGGAGAGCATGTTGTAAGAAAAGTTGAAATCCAATTGTACACATTTGCCAGTGATCCCGTTGTGCTTAATTTTGATGGGGGGTCTTTGGTGTGGAACGCGACCAATTAATTTGGCGATATCGTCGACGGTGATGAGAAGTTGTGTATCACACAACTATTCTATTCGCTATTCCCTCAGCAACAATCTCGAGTGGTTCAATGTCAGGAACAATCTGCTGTAGGTCTGGAAAATTAGCAGTATTTTCTTTGGTGAAAACTGATTTGAAGAAATCGTTGAGGATATTTGCTTTACCAACTCGGTCAGAAACTACGTCAGAGCCATTCTTTAGCAGGTGGACAGGTGGACATTGTCACTGCGTTTGGATTTTACGTATTTCCAGAATTTTTTGGATTCTGTTGGAGATCTTCCTCAAACATGCTAAAAACATTCTTCTGGTGCACACTGTTGAGATTTCTTTTGAACACTCTACTAGCGCTTCTATAAAGTCTTGAATCTTCAATAGATTGCTATTTCGGAGCCTGCTCATCGCAGTTTCGCCTTTGCCAACACGCTAACTATGGTGGGCGCCACTCTTCTCTGAGAAACTCTCCCGGTCTGCCGTACCTCTATACTCCATATTCTCTGTACGTCTCGTGTATTCGTCTCCACTCCTCCCAATTCGTCTAACTGGATCTCCGGATCTGACTCGCTGTGCCAGTAAATTGGGGAGGGCCCAGTCTCCCGTTGCCAAGGCATATGCCGCTGATCTGGCTCCAGTGGTAGCTCTCTAGCATTTCTTCTAACACCACGTCCGCTATCGTGATGCCTGGCTCCGATTCCTTCGGGTTTAGTGTGGATCTCCTCAGTTCGTCCGCTCTGGCACCAGAACTGCCCTTAGACTCCAAGGAGTGTCTCCCCACTTGACTACTGTAGACACTATCCCTCCTCTCCTCACCTGCGACTGCAACTTTAACTCGCCCTCCATGCTCACTGCTCAAGTACAGAAGTTAGGCCTATACCAATCCTGTCTACTACACCACCTGTCGCCGCGCTGCAGCCGCCGGAGTTCCTCTCTGTCGATCTGGTAAGAGGGCGCTCTCCTGTGGTAGGACTGGACGATATATTTTGAATCCCCAGATTCGTTTGGTTGAAATAAACAATCAGGTAGTTAGAATAAATACCTCAAGTCAGGACGGTGGAGGGAACTGACGGTTGGACCACTGTGTAATGTGCTCGTTTAATACTCGTTTTATTCAGATATTTATACAGCACGTCTAACACAGTCTCTTCTATTTACACGGCAATTCATTCCTTCGCTGATCGTAAATACTCAGCCTAAGCATGCATCAAGCTCTGCTGCGGCTGTTCTGGTAGATTTCTGTAACCTCAACTACTACGTCAGTAACCAGCCCTGCTGCAATTACTCCCGGCCGGTAGATTTCTATAACTTCAACTACTACGCCGGTAACCAGCCCTGCTGCAATTACTCCGGTAGATTTCTATAAGTTCAACTACTACGTAGGTAACCAGCCCCCAATGCAATTACTCCGGTAGGTCTCTATAACTTCATCTACTCTGTCGTTAACCAGCCCCAACTGCAATTACTCCGGTAGGTTTCTATAACTTCATCTACTCTGTCGTTAACCAGCCCCTACTGCAATTACTCCGGTAGGTTTCTATAACTTCATCTACTCTGTCGTTAACCAGCCCCTACTGCAATTACTCTGGTAGGTTTCTATACTACGTCGGTAACCAGCCCTGCTGCAATTACTCCGGTAGATTTCTCTAACGGTGCCAGCTTCCTTCTGCATTATTTGCCAGTACCTGCTTGAGTACTCCGCCAGTTTCAACTGCGCCTTGCCTATGTGGTCTCTCGGTGTCGCCGGAGTCGCGTGAATTGCCGCCGTCAGCCCCAAAACAAAGATAGCGTTGGGTAGCGGCGTAAGATGGGGAACTTCACCTCGTAAAATGTTGTTATTGCATACACGGGCTCCATTCGGGTTGGACTACGCCTGCCCAGTGCATGTTTATGCACAGGCGCAGGCGCCACGACAGACACGCACACACTACGCCTGCGCCTAGGGAGCCCACAGTGATAACACCTTTTTGGCCGAGTTATCCATTTTGCGTCGCTATGCGGTGCTATACAATCTTTGCCCAAAACTTTAAGTCGAACAACAGAACTTATTGCGGCGAATAAAGTGAGCACATCACGCTTTCCTTTTGTTTTTTCTCCGGCCCGCGTCTAAGAATTCTTCTTTGGTTCAAAGGCTGTTGTCGCATAGCAACCCTATGGTGGTGCTCTTACGTACTGTATTTCCAGTTAAATTGATTGTACTGACAAGCCAAAAGAATCTCTTTAGAATCAACTAAAATTTATAATTATTCCATCAGATAAAGGTGAAACAGTTAATTTGGAGGATTAATTAATCATGGCTCGGAGTTTATCGCGTGTTCTGCGTGGTGACGTCACAAATTCAACAGCTTCTGTTTGCAATGCATTGTGCATATGCGTGCTGTAGGTACATGTATATATAGGCTTATGTGTAGAACTCCATGGGCATAAACCCTACATCGATTACTATTATGTACAGGTAAATCGCAATTATAATTCACCAAGGTTTTAATAGTAAAACTTGCTTATGAATTAAGTGAGACTGGCCAGGTCCTCGCGCATCACATAAGCATTTTACGAAATTTCTGATGAAATGAAAAACCAAAGAAAATTTCAATGAATTCCAGAGATTAAAATTTTAAAACGTTATGGTAAAGATAATGAATGTGTGTCGAAACAAAATATAATAAGCCATTTTAGGGCCTCAAGGCGTATTGGGGTCGAGGCAAGAGTTGAAAAACGCGTCTGGCAATTGCCAAGCATGTAGAAAAGCCGAACCACAGACTCCAATTGAAATATTTAGCGACCAGACTGAGGATGCAGAGAGGCTCTAAGAGACTATCTTTGAGCAACTGAGAAATTTCATTTCATATATCTTTTTGAGTGGAATTAACATGACGAATTTTTGAGTTGCAATCATTTTACCCAAAAAAAAACATGAAATTTGGAGAAGATTCTAGGGAATTTCCAAGAACGATTCGGGAAAAACTGAGCCAAATATGAGGAAAATAGAGAATTAAGGAATCAACGAAGTGGAAACATATGCTGAAACAAATGTTCGGATTCTTAATTCCAAACTGACGCACAGGACCAATGTGCATTTCACCTGAACAAAATGATATTTGCAGCCCTGGGATTCAAGCTGTGGTATACGGTTTTATTGCACAGTCTTATATATTTTCAACATGGGCGGAGATTTCTTGTTACATGTGGGGGGATGATTTCTGAAAGCTCACCACAGCCTCCATCCCAGGTGAGATCGTGACAGCTGAAAGTGCGTGTTCGGTGGTGCAGGCTAAGGGTGCGCATAAAAGTGGAGGGATGAATGAATCGGTAACCCTCCCCCCTCAAAAAGTGGACGGATATTCCCCGGGATCTTCGCTCATGATTTTCAACACACTTATGAGAGATTAGTCATTTCTACCCATTTCAAACCTTACGTACTTGGACCATTCCCACAGTCTCAATCAGACTTGAATCTTACCACAAGTAACACCCATTATACCTTTTGGACACACTAGGATTTGACAGCTCTTGAGAAAAGTGCATTTTGACACAACGACTTCAAGTTCAGAGCAGTTTCAATACTTCTATTTATATATTTCCCTCCGTATATAGTGGCATGCGACTATCCCAGGTTGTCGAAGTCTCAGCTGAAAGTATACAAGACAGGATACCGCATGATGGCACAATGGTATCTACCACCTGGTGCGGAAACTCGCCGATTGGATCGTTGGTCACCGGCCTTCATTGTCTATGATCGTTCCCTCGTCATAAGACGTGGAAACCTTGTTTGCTTTGACAACAGTTACTAGAGTGCCTCCTCATCCCACCTGCTTGGGACGGAAGTGCGCCTCCTTCGCTAATATTTGCTTTGATTTATTTCCGGGGAGGTATTTTTTATCGCTTGGCCGCCCATACAAAGAAACTACCATCATGTACGGGTGGTAAACTATCGCCGAATGGGTGTGGCTAACTTTTAGAAACACAGTGGATAAAAAGAATTTGGTGTGACTGCCATGAGTGGTCCAATATTCTAGAGGTATTAGTCAGATCAAGTCTATTAATACGTCATTGTACTTTGAACCAATCATCACTGAGAAAAATGGTGACGAATGCATAAGAAATGTCGGCCCTGGGAGACAAGGCTTACGCTGCACGAGGCCATTAGCCATTTTCCTCTGACAGCCGTCCTCTGGTTGTGTGAGGCGCCCTCACACGTTCCGTGATCTTAATAAAAAAAAGGAGAATGCGTCTCATTTGAAGACTGATGGTGTTCAATCATTGAGGGTTTACTTCGGTTGGCCACGATGTGACACTATCCGTGGGTCCATTCCTTGACAGCTGGTCTGTGGCATTATTGTTCTGCTGTATTTGCTGATATTAACGATAGCTTCACTACAAATTACACGCCCTCGAGCTTTGACGATTCTGTTTACTAAAACAAGTCAGCTTTAAGGACAAATCGTCCCTTTTGAAGGCAAGCCGGGAGTACACATATATTGCATCATACGAGGGCATTAAGAAGTCCTCAAGTGTTCGTCCGGGACCAAATAGTAGGTCCTATGCACGACAAGCCCGTACCGTGTACAAGTGGAAATACATCTCTCATCTTAGACAACCTTTACGTGCATGTGTGTCACACTGTGTAGTCAGTCGTAATCTGGTAAGTATGAACACTGGTGTGTCATGAGAACTGGTTATTTATTATCATTTTTTAAGACTTCTCGAGCAGATGTTTGTGAAACTTTGTAACTAAGAGTGAAAGTAAACATTTTTCTATTTTTTTTGTCAATACCTACTCTCAAAGTGAAAATCTAAGACCTTTCAGGTAAGGACATGCAGAATCCTGATGAGATGGTGTTCGCTGTGAATAAATGTGATTGGAACATTTCTGGTTTTCAATCCATATTGTTTCATTTTAACTACTTTACAGCTTAGCGTTATGTCAAAATCAACGTTGAAAGAAAAACAATATATTTTCATGCAAATGTACTTAGCCGTTACAAAATGGAGATGGAATCGTGTGGTAGGGTTCGTTAACGCAAAGAGTTTATAATGATGCATAAAGTCATCAATTACTTGTAAACATTTCTCGTGGCGTCGGTTATCATCAACATGTCGATTATTATGCTAACATATCTTTTTCTTTTCTTTTTTATTTCGTTTCAGTAGTTTACCATAATAATTATTACATTATTTTGGCATCGTATCATAAATAACTCTCCTTATCTAAGAAGCAACTGCAAACGATGCCCATTGATTTACTTTTTCGTCATTTAGATCGTATGTCTACGACGTCTGTTAATAATTACATGCATTTTTTGTTGTTCGACAATGTTCTAACCTTGTATTTGCAGCTTGGTCGAACTGGCAATATTCTGCGTCGTTATACCTCTAAATGGTTTCATCGATCGAGTGCATTTGGTTACGTGGCAAAATGAAAGAACTGAAACTCTTCCAATCTATTGAAATAACCTGAAGTAATTTACCGCCGTTTAAATTAATAAATTAAAATACGAAAGTGTAATTTTGGATGTATATAACTGACATTGAGTATAGTTCTGATATGTTATTCGTAGAGACTTCGTCATTATATTTCAAGAAGATAGAGTACCTGTAATTTTGCGCAAGTTGCGCACTGCTTCTTGCGTTTGAAAGTTTCCATAGTATCTTCCCATTTAGTTTGATTAATGTCATGAAGAAGCCTTCTCGCTGTACCCAGAATTGTCAAAGGTTACCTGTCCAACGAGGAACATCCAGATACTGATTTAAAGACTCGGCTCTAGGAGGCTTACACATTATGCTATGAAGGTGTGGTTCATGTTTCATTTTCAAGGTTCACAGTTCGAGCCTTTCCCAGAAGAAACGAGCGTGACAGTGTAAAGGTCCGACGTGTAAAACATATATTCGGATTCTTCTAAGAGAGACGGTAGAACAAGCTTGTTCCCTAAACTCTGTGACAGGTACCTTTAAATGGGGGTATCTAATTCTAAATGCACCCAAGTATATGAAATAAATTGGCCGTATTTTGTATAAAAAGGAAGGAAACATAATTATCATGCTATACGTCCGTTTGAATTTAAAATGTTCAAAACGCTAAAATTGTTTTGAAATAGTACTGTCAACCGGGGTAACTTCAGGTTTGGTTAAACTCATGATTTCTTCTGCTTTTCCTAAAACAAAGAAATATTTTTAATCGTTGATTGGACATTTTTGTCACATGAAGCTTAATCAAATCTAATCAAACACATGTAGTAACAAACAACTATCCATTTCTTTCAGTTTGTTATTCAGAGTTTAATTCATTGCTGCCAAGCCTATACCCCGTGGTTCGGGCAACTTTGGCAGGATTTTGGAATTTAATGAAAAAACATAAATAAAGGATTGTAACAAAGTCTTACACATGAAATATCTTTCAAGCCAAGCCTCCAGCAGTATTTTATGATACAAATTACTTTCATGGAATCATTTGAGAGAATCTTTTATCATTCATGTAGCTCGTTGCGAAGATATGACGACTATAACCAAGGGGTGCGGCTTGTGCCAAAGTTACCCTTTGGTGCCAAAGTTACTCCAGCGTACGCTAATATTTCACTGCATTAAACAGTGGAACTCAGTAAGTTCATTCAAGATAACGACCTGTACACAGCGATACACTTGGCGGACAAAAATATTGTGTCATATGCATCATTTTAATCACATACAGTTTAATTAATTGATGGCGCATGACAAAGTACATGTACAACTTTTGTTATGTGTACCAATTCTATCCTCATACTGAAAATGAAGAGGAAAATGACTCGTTTCAATATAAAACTATTTCCCAGAACCTCAAAATTTGTAATGAGCATGAATTTCACCATCCTCGTTCTCAAATCTCACATTCAAATAATAGGTTGATGACTAAGATTTGTGTAACTGTTGTTCATATTAGGCATAGGCTTTACAATTAAAGTGGGGTAACTTCACATTTAAGACATTTGTTAGAATTGTTGGTGGTGAATTCATACCCTGGGTCTGGTAATTGATCAGACCTTAAAGTGCATTTGCGTGTCCCTCTGGTGACGTCTCGAGAACGACCTTGGGGATCTTCGATCTCTGATGCGTGTGATTCTATAATTAATCTACTCATGGCAGCGTAGAGAACCTTATTCAATTATGATGGATATGAGAGAGAGAAACTGGAGGAGGTCGTGTGTCGTGCATTCAGGCGCCCTACGAGCATTAACAAGGGGCGTGGTGGGTTTTAAGGAAGAGGGTATGGCGCTGTTACACTGTCCGTGTATGTCTTGGTCTCTACCGCTGGAGGACTGTTTTGTGAGAACACACCCGTCTAGACAATCCAGTGGCCACAGCGTGACTATAGCCGTCAGAATAGTCTAAGTCGATTTGGTTTCTGAATGGCAAGTAGGCCTAGTTACTCAAAACACTGTCAGTGCTGGGTGACGCTTTATAGGCTTTTGTTGTAATATGAACAGGCTAATTACACGTACACGTATGCACTGTACGAAATGCAAGAGCAGGTAACATAACACCGATGGATATACTCTTGGGTGGTAACCAGACCATGAGTTGTGGCGTCATGTCTGATAGCACCAAGCCCAGGAAACATCGAGTGTTTGCAATCAATTAGCACGCATCTCACAGCAAGTAAGATTGTCACTTACAATTCATTACATTTTTGGACGTAAAATAACTGTCAGGCTCTTAAGACCGTTGATAAGAACAACTTAAGACAGCTTGCTATCAGAACATTTTAAAAAGAAGCTTTTTAATGCTTCAGTTTTTATACACGGCCGCATTTCACATTGTTATTCCTCTGTCTTGAATGCCATATTTTTATCTTCCCAAAAATGCAAACTAACCTCAATAAAATCATAATGCAGTGATTGCTATCTACTCACCTTCTCGTCCCTAGCTGGGAAGGGCAAGCGGAGACGTTTTGAAGCCCTCAGTGGACAGAATTCATCTGAAAATCTGTAACACGTGTCAAAACGTCCGCGTAAGACTATCCGCGTATATAGGTAGCTGTAACGTAATACAATACCTTCACAAGACTTCATGAAAGGCATTGTCCTTCCCAGCGCCATGTAAGGACTGAGAGAAAGAAGCGGCTTTCACCCATAAACATTTGAAAGTATTATGTTTTAAACTCCTCTGGGAGCAGCAAACGAGCACACCATACGACTAGCTGCTGGGGCGATACAATCTTTGGTCGACGGTTAAAGTTTGTTTCAACTTTTTTGCGAATAAGTTCCTAAACATGATGCCTGCTGAACGTGAAAACACATGCAGGTTCTCCTCAAAAATGATTTTCAACGCGTAAGAAAGTGTCCTCGTGCAAGACATTTGCAACCGACCGGGATCATACCCGTCGTTTCGACTATGTTCGAGACCTCCAGGTGACCCACGCACGGTTTAATCCGATATTTTTCTTTTTTAATTAATAAATATTCGAACCACTGCACTTGTAAACATTTATTGTTTTTACAATAACTGCTTTGATTTTCATTCCTGACGGGCATATTTCGTGCAAGCGTTGTTATGAGATTTTCTCGGATATATTTGGCTTTTTTCATTGATTGATCATCGTGTAATGTCCTCCATTATTTCTCACTTTGATCAGAGAAACTTTCTGGCATGCGTAAAAACTGCCAAATGCAAGTAATGACTGCCACTGTGGCCCTACATCCCGTTTGTCAACACTGCGGTAGAATATATTTATACTCGCGTATTCTATGTTGAAAAATACAGCTTCATTCCACTGCCATTTTTTTCAAAAATGTACTTAATATAGACTCAAGTCGTCTTTTATCTGATACCTGACAGACAGCGTCGTCTCAGACTTTTTTTCAAGTATTCCTACGCCTGGTGACCTCTATAGGTCAAGGCGTGCGTGGAACAATGCCGTTACCATATGGTTACTTCGATCTTAGCGCAAACACCGTGTCACTTAATCTGGCCCGAGTTGAGGGAATATCTTTGTAAGTTGTAAATAGACGACTGCATTTCTCAGAATGTGATGTCATAATGAAAATCAGAGTAAGTCGCAAGAAGGAACGCATTTATAAATAAAATTTCATAGTACCGACAATTTTACGTTTAGCTTATAACGTGCTTCTTGTGAGTCTTATATGCATCAAGTTTCATTTATCAGGGAAAAATGTGATTCGAACGAAAATGTACATCACGGTTGTCCCCCTCCCCTTAATTTGGTTATAGAACCTTTCTGTTTTGCATCCTACAGTGACTACAACAGTCCTAAAATTGCAAAAACAAGACTTGGTTGGAAATACAATTTAATTATGTTAGATTGAGATTCATTTAGTGTTACTTTAAGATTTCCCGTTAGCACAGATTACGCATCGTTTGATTTCCTCTATTGGTTGCAGTTTTCAGCGCTTACTTGCTCTTTAATTATCTATCTCTTGAAGGTCATTGTTATTTTTGTTGGTCACTGATAGCTGTGACAGTGCGTACAATAACTGCATTACATTTCAAATTGATGCCATATGGAGAAGGTATGGTTAATGACAAGTGAAGACAAAGACAATCATTAACCTTAAAAGGTATTTGTCAGCTACTCAAATTAAAAGCGCGCTTTAAAGCGATTAATTAAATAGCATGCTTGGAATACGAACAGGACCTTTGCAGTACTCAAAAACGGAACGATTTTGCGTTTGCCTATTACGTACTTTTATATCTTACATTTAACGGCAACCAGCTCATCAAACTGTCAAATTCGAGATGTCCTTGACATGTGATTTAGCTAATCATGATCGTGAAAGCAGAAGTCGAATCAGTGTCACAAATCCATCGAGCTTGTCGCTGATTACGTTCCAATGACATGAACGACTCAAGCACGCTTCTTTTTGCCCTCCAGCTAGTTTGGCAACGAAACAGCAGACTGTAGTGATTCTATACACAGAGCTAGGGACGCAAAAATGAGAAGAAATACTGATTAACGTACACGCCTAATGAACTATCCACTTAAAAACTATACCCCCTCACCTAAGCCAAATTTTGAGACCCCCGGCAGACATTAAAAAAAAACAAAAATACACGTTTTGTATTCCGCATACTGCACCGATAAACCAACTGTATCCTTGGTAACTAATTTATACTCTTAATCGCCACATCTCTTGCATCATCTCTATCAAGGTTTCAGTATCAAATACAACTCTGACTATTCAAACAATTTCAGCCGAGGCGTCAGGTTTTTTTTAGAACTCTGCCCGTGGTTCGAGGTTCCCCATTCATCAATCACTAGTCACGGACGATCACGATTTGACGTGGAAGGATTTCGACAATTCCCTTCGTCAGCCAGCACATAGGCCCCCCTAGTGGAAATTAGATCTTGTTTTATGAAATGTGTGCAAGCTACAGATAGAAAGGCATGCGTAGTTTGATACTTAAGACTCGAGATAGGAGTCCGGATATTTAATCAAAATAAATTTCTTGTCGGACAAATCGCACTAGAGTCGGTATAAGTGTGCCATCATTTATCATCATCTGTTTTAGCCTTTGTTACTTGGGTGCATCGAATCTTGCGAGCGTTATAAGATATTATTTCTCGACTGATTTTAAACTTTTCCCCGCAACCTACCGGGTACGTTTGTAAATAAGTAACTACAAATCGATTCCGGAAACTATACTGTCGAAACAGAACCATTATGACTTCACGGCATAGACTACGGTTGAGGCAAATTAGCTTCTGGTCAAAGAGCCTTAAAATTAACCCATGCATAATGGAACTCTTGGATCGGAAACATAAGCTAAAAATCTAAAAGTTCCCTTTTTTCGTTTGTTGTTACTTTAAAAAAAACCTTGGAAAAAAGCCTTTGTAAAATATTAACTAGCGTATTTATTTATAGAAACGAAAAAATTACTTACTTAAAAGAGAAAAATCATGCAAAATATTGACCCCTCACTTGTACAATACACCGACCACTGTAACTCGGTGTTTTCGTGTATAGATGAAAGGTTACGAGATTGTATATCATATGAAATTCTCAAGGTAAAAGCTGAAATAAAACCCAAACAACTCGTATTTTATAATTTTTAAGGAAGTAACTTAAAGGAATAATTTGCATTTACGAAAGATTGTAAAGCCCAGTATTTTAACCTTTTGCTGACAATAACTACGTGTACATTGGGCCACCTGTACTGAATCTAGAATCCATCGACTTTAAGTAGGTAAATCATCACAACATCTCTCTCATAAACACGTGCAGTGAAAATAAACATGCACAAACAAGGGCACCTACCAATGATAATGCTGGAGGTAAAAGGTCGTTTATGAAAAACCTTTTTTACCCATGTCCAGGTGACTTTTCCACAATATTACTTTAGGAACACAAAGGAAAATTTCCAACATGAGTGTTTCTTCCAAACGTGAAATCCCCATTGATGGGCCGTATGACCTTTTACTTACAGGTTGTTTAAGAACTCCATCCGCCCAGAGCCGTACTGCGTGCAAGAGGGCCGAACGTATATGGACAACGTTCACTAAAAGCTGTGGTCAGAAATAACTAAAAGCCAACAAACTGGTATATATATAGATCCCGGCGTAACCTCGTTAACTTGCTCTTGTGTGTAATCTGTCATTGGAAGTTGCTGTAATATGTCCAGGGTAGAGAGTGTATCACGCAAACTACTCCGAAGTACTCTCCGTTGTGTTTACTGGCTCGTCCAACGTCGATGGAACTGTCACTTAGAGTGTTAATGTTACATAGTGACGTGCGCACAAAGCACTGAGCGTCACTTAAATTCAATCATATCTACGCTGTGGGGGCAGATGACACTTGAGCATTATCATGAACAGTTGTGTTGGATAACAAGGTTGATGCTGACGTGGGGACGAACTTATTTCAACCAGTCGACCGGCTGTTGTCTTGCTATCAGTGAAGGTAGATTAACAGACGACAGACAAATGTTTTTCCCACAGTTAAATTGAAAAAAAAAATTACTCGAGGTACTAAAATACTGGCAAACGGGTGTTGAAAATGCAAAATCATTCACTGGGAACAACATGAACAAATTGTTGCAATTTTTGTTAGTTCGTGCATGTGTGTTCTGTTTCGTTTTTAACAGTGAAATGAATCTTCAATTTTCCTTTTTTCAGGTTGTTTGATGTACTTTCTTCAACAAAGATGCTAAGCTTATACACTGTAGAGTGTGTAACCTTCACTGCGCGCTACATGACGATCTGAATAAACAACACAGTGGATCACAGTCGACAACAGACAACCCTTCGTCACTGAGGCAAATGCCTGCAAACTGTACTGATTAGTGTTGCGGGGATTTCTTTTCTAAATGCCTTGTCTAGAAATGGTTTATGAACAAGGAGTGTACTGTTTAGCAACCTGTGAGTGATGTCCTACTCCTAATGCAGCCTATGTTGATATTCTACCTTATTGTAATTCAGCCGATGCATCGTTGACTGTTGTGGCTACTTGCAGAGGCACATTTCTCCGCTGGATGTGTGATCGCGGTTTGCAAGATCACACTACTCAGTCTATTGATATGTGCGTCTAAATGGAAACTATCCAGAACAGGTTGGAAATGCTTAACTGCTTGCACATTTTTGTGATTACATCATTATGATCTTCGTCGGTTTGCAAACTTGTGATTATAGGAAATTCAACCTGCATCAGTCTGTTAATGACGCGTTCGTCTGAAGCGGATACAACCAACCAGCATTCGTCCTAAACGTTTGCTTACTTTGTACATCCTCAAAACGGAAGACACTGGACAATGGAAGAAATAAATTCAACAGAGGTAACTGACTTGGCGACAACAGTTGTACCAAAGGACGATACTTCGTCTGGAAATGAATGGGTGTATGGTATTGAAGTTACGCTAGGCATTGTGGGCACTGTGGGCAACGTGTTCGTCTGCTTGATCATTCTGCGCGCCAAATTCTTACACAACATGACCAACTACTTGATTCTGAATCTGGCCGTGGCTGACATGACTGCCTCGCTGTGTTTGATCTTTAATGTGTTCTTAGTGGAGACTTCGATCGTCGAACCGCCCTCAGGCGTAGCTGTAGGAGAGATTTACTGTCGTCTCTATGGCAACCTACATCTCTTCTGGGTATGTGTAACAGCTTCCGTCTTCAATCTCATTGTCGTGACACTAGAACGATTCTACGCCATTGTGTATCCTCTTCATTACACTAGATACTTCACAACGAAGAGGGTAACCCTGCTAGTTGCTCTGACTTGGCTTGGCGCTTTTCTGCAAGAGTTTTTCGCCCTTTTTATCAACTCGTACGACGCTGCCAGTGGGACGTGTGCCTATGGTTTCCCCAATTTGGCTAGTCAAATTGCTGTCGGTTTGTTTGTGTTCCTCAGTTCCTATTTTTGCCCTCTTTGCGTAATGATTTGGGCATATTACAAAATAATGAGAAACCTTAAGAAGTCAGCGCGTAATCTTATGAATCAACAGACGGAGGACCCAGCCTATGGACTTCTCCGTGCGCGCAAGAAAATAGTGCAGGTCCTGTTTACCGTTGTCATGGCATTCCTCATACTATGGACACCAAACCAAGTGGTGTACCTGTTTGAGAATTTCCATGTTGAATTAGTTCCAACAACTCACATCGTGTACTCAATCTTTCGCATGATGGCGTTTTCCAACTCCGTCGTCAACCCGATCATTTATGCGTTCAAGTACAAACAATTCAGAAAAGGATTCCGTGTGCTTATGTGTAGTGGGTGCATGGCCAATAACGTCGGAGCAATCCAAACTGAGTTATCAAATACGTAGTTTATTCAAATCACTGTTGCACTTAGTAAGTAGGAGGTCCTGTATGTTGAAACCGTGCAATGGCATCTGCTGCAAAAACTGCAGAATTCAGGCTGAATAGATGGGGAAGCATTTACCATTCCAGACTTTGACATTCGTGACAATATTGAATTTTGTACCTCATTTTGAAAGTTGATATACAAAGCCCTCTGCTGCTGTGGAAAACGCACAAGCAGTTATGTATAGTTATAGGGTCCATTTTTCCTGTGGCTGGTTCGGACAGAATATTAAGTTTTTATGTTGTCTATACTTCAGATTCTTCGCAGGGGCTTGAGAAGGAACAACCTTTGGGGGTTCAGTGGCCTCTTCCCTTTCAACGTATTTGCGCCTCTGCACAACCCCCCATGAGATTACACTAACGTTTAAAGGCTGATTTCACGAATTTGCACTGTAGAAATTTTATATATGAAAACTGCAAAAATAGCCGGGCAATATGCCTCATTCGTAAAATAGCCATCTTGAATCGAAGGCGAGGTGATCCCGGTAAAAAGTTTCTGGAATTTTAATACATTTATTTATTTAGTTATTTAACCATCCTTAAGGAGGGTAGCCCATGCAGCTATAGCTGATCATTTGGGGCACTCAAAAATCATGCAACTTAAAAGTAAAACAACATCAAATGTACAATTACATCAAATGTACGGCAACAGGGAAAAAAACATAAAAGAGCCAGTACAAATTGGGAGGGGGATAAATAAACATGTACAATTAAAAATTACTAGGGAGCACCAGAATGGCTTTACATCAAAATTACAATTAAAATGTGATATATACATAATCCCATACATGTGGGAATAAATATGATTGGGAAAAAATATAGATTAGCATTTGCTCCGGGGTTAGTGCCAAGTAATTTATCGAAGGTCGTGCCACTTTTATCGTCCAAATGAAACATATTTTTCAAAGTCAACAGTGCACCTATATATGTATCCGTAATTATAGCAAAATAGACAGGCTTCTTCCCATTTCAGAGTGCTCTGTAAACAAAATGGATTCGGGAATCGGGAACCACAATCGTAAATTCCAGTCTCGTGAATAAAGACCATTTTTCTACTCAACCACAAGTAAACCAGAGAAATTGCCTTAAATGTTGGGCAAACATGTTACTCAGCTGCAGTAAGTTGTGTGTAAACCTACGTCATTTACCCAAAACTACCCAAACACTTGTACCCAGCGCTTTTACAGTATACATCAGAGTCCGACTACAAGCTAGCTGTTGACAAGGTGATCGCAAATGCGTCTTCTATAGCCACTCCATTTTCATGGAGTGGCTATAGAATACGTGAGGGTTACGTCCGAACCAGTTATTTAGATTTGTGTAGTTTTCGCCATTTAGCGCTCAGTGGAGAATAGTCATTGACAACAGTGCACGTTTCAGACGTGCGATTTCTGCTCAATTCATTTCACGCTATGGCCGATGGTTGAATAGATTCCGCCCCAAGTCCGTATCAAAAGGCTATCAACTACTACGACATATATACACGGTATTTCATGACAGGCTCTATATCCATAGACAGACATGTATAATAAATATTGTTGCTCGTAACACCGATCATGTCTAGTAGGCCTATTTCCATATACCGGTCATGAGATCAATTATTAAATAATACTGCATGGTAGGCATTAACAAAACACATTAAATGTTGTAAAAATGTTAACCTCTCCAGGAAAACTCCAAATAATTTATGGTATTATTTTTCTAGAGAAGCTCTGTGTTATTTCGTATATATCCTTCTTTTTATCTTGGGGCTATTTTACTATTTGTATAATCAGAAGTATTGGTAGTTTCCCATTCTTCCCGAATGCCCTGTGGGACTATTTAGAAACACTGAAATGTGTGACATCAATGTCTGCTTCCATTGTACCTCTTGAGCTGTGGCAAATCTTTTAAGCAATAAATTCTGAACACAATTTATGTTGGTATTGTGCGTTCAAAAAGAGCAGCGTCGTGTTGATTTCTAACAGAACTGGTATCAATTTGATTAAGGATCGTTGGTTGTGTTCTAGTCCTGTAAATGGTGTTAAAAACACTCTGTTTCTTTTGGGGGTGGTTTTTATGTGTTTGTTTGTTTTTGGGTTTGTTTGGGTTTTTTTTTGTAAAATGTCAGTCCATAAGTAGATTCTGATTTTAGTTATTGCTTTACAGTTGTAAAAAGAATGTAAGAAATGAACTTGCCGATTCCATTGCACAGAGGATAGAATTAGTTAGCCAAATGACCATGGTGAAACAGTACTATAGCTGCTTGTTTGAATACGGTTTCTAAAACACAGTGTACAGTTGACCATACCTACGCATAATATTTTAATGTGCGATCGTTTTATCGCCCGGGTTTGAATAACTAGCGTAGCAGGTCAGACACGCTTCGTTAATTTGTGAATACTGTTGGATTTATTCTTACCAAATCGTTTCTCCTGGACCAATAATTCTCCGTTTGCTAGGAAGCATTTTCGTAGCTCCAAGGGTTGCAAGATTTTTTTTCTGTTCAGACGGTTCGATTAACATTCTCTTTGTTTCTAAGGATCGCAAATATATAGAAAGTACACGTTTTTGCATGTCCATTAAGCGATTTATAGGGCGAATGTGAGGTTACAGAGGCTGAGCGCTATAATTAAGAAATAAACAAAATGTCGATATAAAGAACCACGAAATCGAATGTTGCTTTCTAATTTCTCATTGATCGTCAATAAATTGTAAGTTGAGTGTGTTGTTTTATTAAAATAGGTGTTTACTTTGTACATAACTGATCAAACATCAACCTATTTGTCGAAATCTCGTATGTGTAAGTTCACATGCTTTTTCTTACTGTAGTGTTTTGGGGGCAGGCAATTACCATCGTTACGAACATCAAAGTGGTTCATTATTTTCCTTCCCCGCAAACAGTTCCACCTTCTGATTTTTCTTATCTTCTCATTTTCGTTTGTTACGGTACATTTGTTGTACTTGCGCCATCTGTCAATGGATTTGCCTGGTATTAACGTTGTAACAAGTGAAAGCAAGTGTCACTTAATACACGACAACCATATCAATGTTAATGAGTAAAAACATAAAGGGTGCGACAGGCCTGACTAGCACATACTATTGAAATGTCGCAACTTGCCCTCCGAGCACATACACCAACCAAACAGTTTCCTCGGTGATCTTAGATTACACCAAGTTTGTGATATACAAGAGTGCCTGCAGCATCGTAATAAAGGTTGCGTCTTCATGATCTGTGGAAAAGTGGGAAGACACTGTGAAAATTCATCATAGTCTGTTGAAAACGTCCATAAATTGTGGGCCCATTTAAAAACCATGCATCTTTCACGCCGATTAATTTACCGTTTTTGGTGTCATGTTTCGCCAATTGGCGTAAACCACAAAGAGCCTTTTCTTATTATGGGAGCCAGTAAGGTTTAATCTAAACGCCTCATCTGTTTGGAACATTCCAAGAAGGTGGCGGATCTTAAAAATAACGTCATATGGAACGGATTTAAATTTGTGTTTGGTGTGGACTTCTGAATCCTGGGACTCATAAAATGACGGCTACAGAGTTGCATTTGGCAAATTCATTTCATCTTCGCAAGTTAGTGCTCACAAAATTACTCTTCAACATTTTAAACTGTCATGGAAAGGGCGAATATTTGTGCACTGAACACAAGTACTGGAATAGTGTAAATGTTGTCGCAAGAATTTGAGATACAAGACCACCATGCAGCTGAAGTTACATGCACACGATCATGTAGGCCTAGTTTGAAGTTAACTTATTGTTATACTTTACTTTCATGTTATGATGAATTTGGATATCACATCACGTTCTGCTGCTCATCCCTTCTAAGGTCTTAACCGAATAACTTGACGGTGACTTGAAATGACAAGATTTTATGGTCGGGACAACAGACACTCCCCATAGAGTTGTGTGTAACTTCAAGACGTAGTAAAGTAATATGGACACAGACTTCTATATAGACACCCCTTAATGCTATAAAAAAACCTCCGAGGACAGGAGTGTTTAGTTTGGCTTAAGCAGTTTGCTAACCTTAATCTGACCGTCCTTGTCCCCAATTCTTTTTCTTACATTATGTACTGCTCGTTCGTTTCGATACATATAAGTTTTCTGATTATTTTCCGTTTCCCCGAATAGCGTGGCTGACAAGGTATTCAATTGAGGCAAATTTACCTCTGATGAGGCCAAGCTCAGCGGCTGTTACGTGTTTATATTTTCGTTTTTCGTTATCTTTTTCTTTTCCTTTCGGATGCGCATGCGCAAAGTCCTGAAAGCGGGTGTATAAAATTATTATCAGGGGTGCACTTTGGCTTTCACAACCATGTGTCTGTTTGTTTATTGTTAATTTTTGGCACTTTGATTGGGAAGCAATTATGTTTAATGATGTGGCACTTATGAACCTTCAAAACAAGTATTCAAACAGACATATCTAAACCAATAGTTAGTACCGCCAAAATAGCCCTTGGGATTCCATCAGGTATTTAAAATCGCTTTACCAGACGGACCCTTATTCTGTAACAGCAAAGTTAGCACATTTGCCAATTCCTACTTTGAGAAAGAAAATCTTTATTCTGATTTTCTGTTTACAGCACACTGCCAACTAGAATTCCGAGTGCGATTTCATTAAATGTCCTGGAAAACGTAGTCAGTGGTGAGGGTAAGATCTGAATTCGATCTCAATTCGAATCTAGTGAATAGCAATCCACGTAGAGAAATGTCAAGTGTATGGTCAAGAGCTGAGCTCAGGTTTACCTGCGCTGTGGGACGTGGTCTGCAAATATTGCTCTCCATCTGGACTGTTTGATCACAGTTAAACCCGAGGTGATTAATTGGACTCTGAAGATATCCCGATCGTGAGGTCGGAATATTTACTTTGGAGATTGGAAAACGAAAGCAAATTCTGCTTGCAATTAGCTTAATAGATTCATAAGAATTGCTCCCAATGTAAAGACGCCATAAATTGAATTAGCAGATAAAATTTTCGTCCTAATCTTAAACACGCGCATTATTTATCATGTTCAATTTATTCCTACCGGTTGAGCAGCTTTGTCTTTCCATTTCAAGAAAGAACAATTTACCTTATTATTAACACCTTTCTGGCACATGGCTGTAGGCCTTTAAATGAATTGAAAAGAAGTTGGAACATGCAGTCTGCTTTTCAGTGTCGCAGTTTTTATCATTAAAGTTCCGGGTTTTTTACTTCAACCTTTGTATGTCTGAATTTTCTTTTTGCTTTGAACAATAACAAAATATACGTCAGCCCACAGAGGACACTTTGCTTGACAAGGGCGGATCCAGAGAGGGCAACTGGGGTCATCCCCTCCCCCAATAATTAAAAAAAAAGAGACAGGCTTTTTTCTCCAGTTTCATCCTTGTTGTTTGATCTTTTTTCTGAATGGCCTATGAATCTGAATTATGAATGGCAAAATACCCTACTAAATGAAACTAGAACACTTTTGCAGCATACTAGCAGTAGATACTGTCGCTTTTCCTGCTCCATGACCTTGCCTCTTTATCTCTCAAGTTGGCGTCAGATTCACCATGCTTTCCTTGAGGCGTGATTCTTTTGACGAAAATAAGAGGACTGTTCCCGTCTGTCGCAGCTGTCCGGGAAAAAACGTCTTCCTGACGATATGGCATGTCGGCTCTAAGCACGGGAGATTTCGGAGGAATACCCCGAGGTAACAGTGTGGAAACTTTGTTGTGAAATTCCGACAGCATGAAAACGATGGGACTTAGAATGAAATTACGGTCTAAGTGACATCAAAGAGAGCTAGAATACAGACAATGGCTTCAACACCCCACAGGAACATGTGTTCGAATGAGCAGTCAGTCATCTAACGAGAGTCATATACGTTTGAAGGCAAAATGTATTTTCCAAAGAACAACCCATGAACCAAGTTTTGAAATTGAAACAAAAAGGAAGAAAAGGGTGTGATTTTTGAATGGTTTGTCTGCCTTTATTGTTGTTGTTTCCACTGTTTTTGTATTTGTGTGTTTGTATCACTCTTTGTGTGTGTTTCATATCCCTAAGGTACATTATATCTACGTCTACCTTTGATAGCAACGGGCCGATCAACGCTCGTCAACGTCAGCCTCGTTCCCAGTCAGGATATGCTTTATTTCGTCCTATTTTTCTAATCACAGCAGGAATACCCTCCAAGGTCACATCTAAAAGATTATTTGGAGCATGAAGATATACGAGTTGGTATGACCTCTTCTTGTCTGTGTATGTGATGTGGTAATCCTCAGTAATGGGACCCACACTTGTCAGAATTACTCGCTTTTTGGAATTACAAATGTCTTTAATGTGTATCGCTAAAACTCGTGCACCTTCAGAAAAATTTATCTAGCAATCAAGAGATGAGGCTTTTGCACTCACACAAACTGGTAAATAAAGCATTGGATCTTTGATTTTAATATTCCAGTGCCCGTTTTGTAACACACAATGTAAACCAGTTGCACTTTACGTCTGTCTCATCTCGTGGTGCTAGGCAACCGTGATGCATTACGATAGTACATGGCGTCTGAATTGAAAGTTCCATGGTGAATTAACAATTACCATGCACTTTTCTCTTCCTTAAATAAGTGATAACTACTTTCAGGCTCATATTCAATGGGCCCTAATTGGAGACATACAGTGACTGTTCCTCAACCGTACACCACGCGAGCCACAACATGAAGCCTGAGGTAAAATTGTCTAATGACCTGGGTCTTATTATGGTTCATCTGAACCACTCATCTCGTGCAATTTATCGCGTCTCCCATCACTGACCCCTCCATTAAACCTTCAGCTTCTCATACTTGATTCTGTAAGAATAGATTGTGCTCTCTAGAACTCATCCCACCATAGCTATGCCGATAATCTTGTTACAAAATCTTCCACTGAGTACGGAAAGTCTCGTCAACCTATCTTATACGCCTTAATAATGGCCCTCGGGCCTGTGTTGGCCTGA